CTTAAAGCTTCACTAAGCCGACTTCTCGGATAACCTTACCATTAAATCAAGTCTCTTTCCCCTCAGTTTTTTCCTCGGAACCCAACTCTAGAAAATCCTGAAATTTACGCTAACTGCGAGGGAAAATAATACCTGCTGCAAACATTGCTAATTCTCCGTTTTCCTGCTCAATCACACGTATATTCGAATCCAGAACACTCAGTTGCTTCAGAGCAATTCGTAAACTTTTCAGTTCGTCCATGCCACCTTCCGGTTGTACGGATACACGTACCAGTGGTTCGGCTCCACGTGTAACATGAACAAGTCCCACTGGAACTGGCTCACTACAGAGTGTTGTTGCAAGTAGCTGACCCGAAAATTCGATAGCACAAACTGTCCCGGCAACAGCTCGCTCCACGGGCACTTTTTCACGTCCCATCAACAAATAAACGTTGGAAATGCTGATTTTTTGCCTGAAAAGTACAAAAATTATGTGTGAAAATCCCACAGTGAGTAAGGTAGCTTATCGTGATCTTAGGAGTAGAAATATCTGGGATGAAATAGGCGTATTGCTTAAACATTCTGAACAATTAAAACTTTGTAGAGGGATTTTCTCAAGAAGATAAAATAAGAGCTGGTGGTAATCCTTTCACACTTGAAATTATTATTATTGTTATCATTATTATTATTATTGTTATTATTATTACTATTATTATTGCAGAACTTACGTCTAGGAACGTGGTTGGAAAATTACTGCGAGGAACACGCAAGTTTGCAGTCTGTGTTTCATCTCTTAGCTGCAACTGAGACAGAAAATCTGATGCGACTTGAGGTGGAAATCATCAGTACAGCCTCGAACTCGTCATGTATTAGATGGATTGATAACATAAGTGTGACAATGAGAATAGAAGAGAAGAGATGAGAAGATACGGAAGGATAATTGGAAAGAATAGGGCTGTAGAAGCAGTATCCGAGAAAGTAAGAGAAAACAACAAATGAAAGAAAAACCTGGTGATAATCCTTTCACGCTTGAAATTATTATTACTGCGTAATTTATGTTTAGATGGTTGGAAAATTACATATTGTGAGGTAAGTTTGTGTTTCGTCCCTTAGCTATAAACACAGGAGTGGGAATCATCAGTACAGCCTCTAACTCGCATTACATGAAATGGATCGATAACATAAGCGTGACAATGGGAGTAGAAGAGAAGAGATAAGAAGCAGTGGAAGGAGAAATGAAGAGAGTGAGAGTAGAAAATCTATGTCTAGGAAAATGGTTGGAAAATTGCATATTGTGAGGGACATCTGAATTTGCAGTCTGTGTTTCATCACTTAGGAATGGGAATCATCAGTACAGCCTCTAACTCGCCATATATGAAACGGATCGATAAGATAAGCATGACAATGGGAGTAGAAGAGAAGAGATCAGAAGAGATGAAAGGAGAATTAAAGAGTGTAGAATTGTAGGGGCATTATCCACGAAAGTAAGAGGAAATAACGAATTAAAGAAGAGATTAATGAGACAAAAGCATAACGTAACTATAGAATTAATCAAAACCCCGTCTAATTTTTCTTTTCAGCAAAGCTAATAATCAATTGAGTGGAACTCAAAAACATCAAGAAGTTACTTTTCTTCAGAATCATCATTTTTTGGCTTATTTTCGATCAAAAACAGTTCATCGTCCTTGTGGATGCTTCCCGACAGAATGCGACACATTGCCAGCACGGAGTCCCCGTAATGGAGGATTTTTGCGATGAACAGGACTGTGATGCCTGTGCTATCACATGCTTTCACTGCTTCGTTGAGCGGATGAGTTTCGTGAAGGGACAGCGATGCAAGACGTCCGGGACGTGTAAACGAACGGCACGAAGGGGAGGCTTGAGTTGCAGCCCGAAAACATGCCGATGCCAGTGGCAACCAGCCACGCATGAACTCATCAAATCCTTCGGCAGCTCGTTTACTTCGAATTTTGATATTCATTTTATCCGCAAAAGCCTGCAAAAAAAAAAGTCAAATTATGTGACGAATTTTTCCAGCATCACACTCGGACACTCTGTTTTGCACAACGGCTCATTGTGAAAAAATGTTGCTGTTAAGAAATGTATACGACTTAATGGACCGAAGCATTTCTCACCATTAAAATAAACCTATTAATTTACAAAATTTGGTAATTCTCATCTCCTATCTCCTTCTTTTTTTGATTCTTCTTATTTCATCCATTGTTAATATAACTTTCCCTTAGTGCGAAAAACTGTTATTAAGTCAAATTTTGCCGGGAATTATGTGAGAAGTACCAATATAGTTCAGACAAACAGTGCGAGAATTTCATAATTTCACTACTGCTCTTATACTCCTGCTCTGAAAACCCCCATTCCAAACAGTAATAAAGAATTTTTGCGAGAGTTACACCATGTAAACATAGCTTAAACTCAGTTTTTACGCGTTATCTCTTTTTTTTGCATCTACGCAATGCAGAAAACGCGTACTGACGAGGGGTTGTTTGATTCCAAAATGAATTTTTCTGTATTCCTAGACTGATAAAGTACTATTATCTTTTCTCTGTTTTCTTTTTACCTTAATCTCAAATGATCAAAATCACGTTAATATAAAGCTGTACTGATGATTCTCGCTCCTATCCCCATCTATTATGTCTGTTTTTACAGCTAAGGGATAAAACAGAGGCAAAATTTGACTTCTAACAAAATCTATCATTCCTGAAACCATCTGTTAGGTCTGTTTTTACAGCTAAGGGATAAAACAGAGACAAAATTTGACTTCTAACAAAATCCATCATTTCTGAAACCATCTATTATCTCTGCTTTTACAGCTAAGGGATAAAACTGAGACAAAATTTGACTACTAACAAAATCTGTCATTCCTGAAACCATTTATTATGTCTGTTTTTACAGCTAAGGGATAAAACAGAGACAAAATTTGACTTCTAACAAAATCTATGATTCCTGAAACCATCTGTTAAGTCTGTTTTTACAGCTAAGGGATAAAACAGAAGCAAAATTTGACTTCTAATAAAATCTGTCATTTCTGAAACCATCTATTATGTCTGTTTTTACAGCTAAGGGATAAAACTGAGACAAAATTTGACTTCTGCCAAATTTATCATTCCTGAAATAATATTAAATGCATGAAAACCAGAAACAAAAATCTACTTTTAACTTTTCCAAATCGTCGTTTAGCAAACCACAAGAATGGACATCCCAAAGAGGTTGTAAAATGAATTGCTCAAAAAGCGCTTTTTTTCCATTACGTTCGGCATCTTCCCTGATTGTTCCTTTTGAAAAATATGAATCTGTGAAAAGCCTGGACAGGATATCAGCCTCCGAGATATTGATTTTTTTGGACCACATTTTAGCGAAATCGGATAGACAAAATCCATAACCTGCAAAATTTTTGAGAAATTCAGGAAAACTTATTGGAAAAAGAAGCACATTGACCAAGAAAAAAACCAAAGAAAATTTCGATAATACGAAAAAATTCAAAAAAAAAAAAACTCATTTCTTCATTGGAAATTAAAAAATTTTATTTTGTGTTTCCTCACCTGAAAAAACTCAGTAATCAGAAATAACATCGAAAATAGCCAAATTTACTGGAAAAATTCAAAAAAAAAAACCAAACCGTGTAAAGCTGAAGCAAAAATCACATTCTCATTTTCCGGCAAAAAATACAGATCTTTCTCGGCTCGTTCAACACTACTATGCCAGTCCTCCTGTTCCAGTAAAACACCCGAAATAATCTGACTAATACAACTGTTTACCTGAAAAAAAATCGCACCCTAAAAAACCACTGAATTTTTTAGAGCACCTCGAAAAAAGCTCAAAATTTTTTCACATCCGAGCCATGGAACGACTTTTTTTCTCACAGGTCGGTCAGCAAGTTGTAGCACATTTCCGATAATAAAATAATAAGGCTCACCTGTTCAAGCAAGCGTCGAAGATGAGCAAATGCTTCGGCCGGGGTCTGTTTTAGTTCAACAGCC